ACAATATGAAGTGGAAGTGGTACTCATGGGCACCCTTGTCTTGTCCTCAAGTTTTAGAAAATGTTTGTAACATGTTATCATTAACAGTGACGTGGGGCCTCCCCTGTGGTCTAGAGGCTAAGACTCCAAGCTCCCAATGAAGGGTGCCTAGGTTTGATCCCTGACCAGGGAACTAGATCCCACATGCCACAACTTAGACTCAGCACAGCCAAACAATTTAATTAAATAAATTTTTTTTTAAAAAAACACAGTGACATGACTGTTGGTGTTATCTCAAGTTATAGAACTTTCCTTCTGTTTGATACATGTTTTGTTTTTAATCAGGAGCAAGAATTGACTTTAAATAGTCTTTCTCCATCTATTAAGATATTCATATGGCTTTTTCTCCTTTACCTTGATACCAAGACTAATTACATTTAAAGACTGTCTAATGCTAAGCCACTCTTATATTCGTAAAACTAATATAGATATTGCCATATTCAGTTTGCTAACCTTTCTTTAGGACTTTTACATCTACATCCATGACGCAGATACGCCTGTAACTTTTATTCCGCTTACTAAACTTTTCTGCTTTGGATATCCAAATTACCTATCTAACAGCCTCACAAAAGGAACTGGGGAGTATTCTCTTTTTCTGTTCTCTGGGAGAGCTTTCATTATTATAAGATATGCCTGTTGAAACAGCTAGTCTCAGTGAATTCTCAGTGGAAAATTGTTTATTAATTAATTTAACTTATTTAGCTGTTACAGGCCTACTTAGACTCTATTTCTCCTTTAATTTACAATGGTAAATGCTATTTTTCCAGGAGTCTGTTCCACTTCTTCTAAGTGATCACATTTATTGCCATAATTGTTTACAATGGTCTAGCTTAAGTCCTTTTACATCTGTATTTTGTTCCCCTTTTCTCCTAATACTATTTATATACATCTGCCTCTGTCTCTCTGGTTTTTGTATATCTGTGTTATTTTTCTTATTCAATCTTACTAGTTGATTAGCCTTACTAAGGAACCAACATTTGATTTTATTTGGTCCTGTTTATGGTCCCACTGATTTCCTTTCTGCTTTTTTTTTTTTTGGTGTTTATCCTGTTTTACTCTAAAATAGATTCGACACTTAGCACTTTAATTTTCAACCTTCTGTTTTAATGCAAACATTTAAAACAGTATTTTTTTACAGTACTGTTTTAGCTGCTTTATGCAAGTTTTGGTAAGTAGATTTTGCCTATTGTTCATTTTAAAGTTTCCATTATGATTTCATCTTGACCCATGAATCATTTAGAAATCTTTAAATAAATCTCCAAATTTATAGGAATTTTAATCTTTTTATTAATAATCTATAATTTAATTGCATTACGGTCAAAGAACATGGCCTATAAGGCAGTAATTCTTAAACCGTGTCAAGATTTAATTTTACAGCCTAGTCAATGGCCCATTTATTACAAGTATTCCATGCAGTCTTAGAAGAATGTGAATTCTCTAATTGCTGGACATAAGGTTCTATATATTTTTCTTATTAAATTAAGCTTAACTGTGCAGTCTAAATCTTCTACTTCTTTACTACTATTTTAAGTAATCTGTGAACATAGAATTATCAATCTTTTTTCTGTAATCCTAGTCATTTCTGCCTTATATATTTACCTAGAGACTATTTTATAAGTGAATACAAAAGTCACAGCTGACACTTGCCTGTGCATTCAGAGAAGCTATGCCATTTGTTGAGATCTTATTGTAGGAAGTGGGGAACAGACAGCCTGTATCTTTTCCTTACTTCCTCCCCACCGAATAATTTATTTAAAATGTGTGCTTATTGAGAATCTTGTTTCGCAGCAGTAAGAAACCATGGACTGTTCTAACCTGCCATACAACTGGAATCTGAAGTTCATGTGTTACTTTAAACACTGAAGGATGAACCCTGAGGACATTATGCTGCGAGGAATAAGCCCATCACAAGAAGAACCACTGTATGATTGCTTTTCTATGAAGCATCCAAAGTGATCAGAGTCTGAGAAAAGAGGAAGCAGGATGGTGACAGCCAGGGGCTGGAGGAGGGGTGGCGTTTCAGCCACACAAGATGACAAGACCTGTGGTACAGCAACATGCGTACAGCCAACAACATGGGTGATGGGCACCTAAAAACTGCTAAAAGGGTAAACTTATGGTATGAGTTTTTAATCACAAAAACAACAAACAAAAAACTATTCTTTCACAGCCAGCAAAAACAAAAAGCTGGTACCTCCTCTTATATCAAACAGTAAACTGGGATTTCTGTGTGCAAAGCAAACAGTGAGGAAGATTTCAGAACCTGGCAGCTGTCTCTGACAGTACAAATACAATCCTCAATGTGATTACTACAACCTCTATTTTCTCAGTCAACCACCCTCCTGCCCATCTCTTCTACAATCACCTCATGGTTAACTGAGACAAATGAGGCATCTTTCAGTCACGGCAATTATACCAAGACTGTGTACTTCTCAAAATTCTATTTCAAAACACCCCTCTTTGAACATGCATCTCATATTCATACCTCCAAATGTAGTTTCAAGCTGGACACATAATAATTGTGTAAGGAATTTGTTTAAAAATACATTTCCAGATTTGCTGAATCAAAATTTAGAAAGATCTGAAACTCTGAATTAAGAAAACAACCAATTCTTTTTGATTATTTGCAAATGTCATTGTCTGCTTTGCACTCAGTATTCTCTTTTTTTCCACATGAGGTATTATCTATTTTTATTTCCTGTATGGATGGGAAAAATAAATGCTGGTTTAAAGTAGACCAGTTTATTAAAAAACAAAAATTACTATCTTAATAGCTGTCCCTAACTCCTCAAGAAGAACTGAGCACCTCACAAATACATATAGTACAGCAGGTACGAACCCCCACACTGCACATATACGGTTAGCAGGCAGGGCATGTGGACTCACGGTCCTTGCACACAGAGCAGGCATAGAGCTGGTTTTCAGTACAGGTTTTCTGAATAAGCCAACCACCATACAAGTCTATGTATGGAAATGATAGGATGACTTTCAATCAGGATAGGTTTGCCAGCACCACCTTAAGGGCTTTTAAAAAACACCTCTTTCTGTCATCTGGATTTAGCAGGAGTCCCCAGTCTCCCCTGGTGGCTCAGCTGGTAAAGAATCCGCCTGCAATGCGGGAGACCTGGGTTTAATCCCTGGGTTGGGAAGAGCTCCTGAAGAAGGGAACAGCTACCCACTCCAGTATTCTTGCCTGCAGAATCCCATGGACAGAGGAGCCTGGAGGGCTACAGTCCCTGGGGTTGCAAAGCACAACACAGAGACTAAACAAGTCACCAACCAGACATGGGAGCTGAATGGGAGAGAAGTATAAGTTTCCAGCTGCAGCAAGTATGTGGCTAGTGGTCGAGTACGAATATGGGGTATAAGATGTAAAGAGCAGGAGTAGGGCCAGGACTGAGGGATGTGGGAGGAATCCTGAGACTGAGGTGGCCACGGGACAGCAAGACAGAGATAGGTCACGAAAAGTGGGTGAATGGGTCTGTATCCGAGGAGACACAGGCTGCAGACAAGATCCGGGGCCACAATCAGAGACATGGCAACTGAAATCACAAAAGATGTGAGAGGGAGCAGGAGGGACAGAGAGAGCCCTTAAGTAGAAGACAACTGAGGAGAGAACCTCTGAAAAGGGGTGATCAGCCAGAGGAGTGACAGCGAAATCAAGACTGACTTGAGGAAGGAAGGCATGGCTGCCAATGTCAAAAATCACAAAGGGATAAGAAAAGACAATGGCGGAAAGTCCCTCACTGCAAAAGAAAACCAGAGAGCGAACAGCACTTCAGAATAAAAGTTTCCGTAGGGAGGCTGGGGTAGAACCGGGGGCTGAAGAGTGCGTGGGTGATGAGCCTGGAGAGACAGACTGTGTGATGCATTCTTCCAGGACTGTATGTACATGTGTGGGCACACATAGGTGACAAAGTCACAGCTGCAATGGATATGGGGGATGATGTCAGAAGACACTGGAGCACATGTGAATAATAAAGGAAGAGAGTTCTTAGAAAGAGGCTGAAGATGGCAGGAAGAGTGGTGCTGTGACGGCAGACAGAGAGGCCAGGAGAAGGCCCTGGGCACAGACATGCCCAGCACCCATGCGGCCCGGAGGACGCCGCCCACGTTCACCCACTGAAACCAAACTTGGGGAGTCCCGTGGGCAGTGAAGCCGCCTCAGGCAGTATGTGAAGGAGGCCTCAACCAGAGCAAAAATAAAATCACCTGAACACATTTTTAAAGCCCTGGTATTACAACTGTTCACAAAACCATGTATGTGTGTACCCACATGAGCACAGCGGAATTGAAATCCAACCACTGACAGACTGTGCTCAGGATAGGAAACCACCACAGCGAGCGGCTTCGCAGGAGGAGAGCTTGATCTGTACCTGCAGATCCAGATGAATTTAAAAGGACACACATTTACACAGACAAATACCAAAAGAATATAAATCCTAAAGTTTTTGTTTTTAAGTCATGAGAATTTTTCCTTTATACATTTTTATGTTTTAAAACTTTTCTATAGTATACACACACTATTTTTTCATTTTAGGGAGAAAAAGCAAGCTATACGAATAAATATTTAAAGTAATACTTATAAAAGCTATGGAATAATATGGAAAGTATATAGACATATATGAGTACACATACACACATATATGACTATGATTATTTTGGAAAAAACAAAAATCAAGTGGCAGAAAAAAGGTTGGTAGCAAATACAAAGAGTAAATGGTGGCTGTGTTGGAGGAGGAGGTAATTACAGGCAATTTCCCCTCCTTCCACAATTTCATGTCTCAAAAGTTTTCTTTAAAGAGTACATATATATGTCGATACAAAAAAAAAACCCCATCATGCTCATCAACCCTGACCCCAACATTTTCCGGCATGTCCTGTGTCCTACAACAAACCAGCACACACACAAACATACATACACATACACACACACACGTCACCCCCCTACGAGTACTTACATGGGCTCACATCTCTGTATCTGTTTCGATTTCTGTTTTCAAGGAACTTGGCCACTCTATGAGGATAGTCATGGGACTCACTGCGAATTTCCTTAAAATAACAAAAATATATTTTAACATTTCTCTTAAACTTTATATAGCAGAACACATAGTTTCCCAGCCTGTATAAAATAACTTTCACTGAGCACTTAGGACATGTCAAGCACCTCTTTCAAGTCTCACCACACCACAGAAACACTGTCTCCCCCACTGTGTGTATGAGGGTGACAGGCTAGGGGTTGAATGACCTACCAGGTCCACAGAGCTGACCTGGGACCCCAGGGTTGGACACAACCCTTCAAGCAGAAGGCTCCACTCTCACACACGTGCACTGCATTGCTCTGCTGTGCTCACACCCACAGCCACATTAAACAGTTGAGGTACCTACACTGCAAAGGAGGAATCTCAGATCACCACACCACACTCCAATTCCAAACTAAACTCTCCGAATAATATCTGCCTATATTCCAGAGTGTCGATCTTAAAATTGTAATCTATTTTGTAATCTTCAAGCCATATAACTGTTACTTTGAGCTCCAGAAATATTCTCAAATCTTATTCTAGAGCCACAAATGCTTATTTCAGGACCCTTCTGGTTCTCGGTACTCCACGACAAGATTCTGAGCCAGGATGCCTGCACAAGGCACTCAGCTACATGACATGTCCATCATGACCAGCTTTTTTTCCCAAGTGGAACATTACCCTAAGAAGTCAGGTAAAAACAGAAGCATATCTCCTTCCAGAAAAGGGGTACACATTAACAGCAAAGAACAATTTGGGCTTTTGCTCACATTACCATGTGTGGAGAAACAGTATTTTAAAAATTAGGCACTAAAAAAATAAATAAATAAATAAATAATAAAAATGAGGCACTAAGCAGTTTTGTAAATTAAGCATAAACAAGTTTATTCAAGATTTTCCCATGTGCCTGCCTGCCCCCACCCAATAGCCCCAGGACAAGTAACTTTCTAGTTCATCCTTTTTACCCACTGGGCGTTCCAACAAGAGTTGGGAACAGAGACCAAATCTCAGTGAAAGGAATCAGAGCCTCTTTGTGTAACAGGAGAGGGGGTGCATCATATGCTGGTGCAGCCCTTTTGGACAACGCAATCTGCCACACACAAAAAAACAGAAACACACACACTACAATCGTTGCCACTGATTTTGTAACACTACTCTCACACCCAGTAATCTTGCTGAGTTCTCTAACATTTGGTAGCTTGTTCTGAATTTCTCAATACCAGGAAACAGTAATAACTCTTATCTTTTCCTTAACACTTAACATTTCTCATTCATACCTCATTTCCTTTTTAAAAATTTTTTTAAATTGAAGGATAATTGCTTTACAGAATTTTCTTTTCTGTCAAACCTCAACATGAATCAGCCATAGGTATAGATATATCCCCTCTCTTTTGAACCTCCCTCCCATCTCCCTCCCCATCCCACCCCTCTAGGTTGATACAGAGCCCCTGTTTGAGTTTCCTGAGCCATACAGCAAAAGCCCCCTTGGCTATCTGTTTTACATATGGTAATGTAAGTTTCCATGTTACTTTTTCCATACATTTCAACCTTCTCCTCCCCTCTCCCCATGTCCATAAGTCTATTCTCTATGTCTGTTTCTCCACTGATGCCCTGTAAATAAATTCTTCAGTATCACTTTTCTAGATTCTGTAAATATGCATTAGAATATGATATTTATTTTTCTCTTTCTAACTTCACTCGGCATAATAGATTTTAGGTTCATCCACCTCATTAGAACTGACTCAAATGTGTTCCTTTTTATGGCTGAGTAATATTCCATTGTGTATATGTACCACAACTTCTTTATCCATTCATCTGTCAATGGACATCTAGGTTGCTTCCATGTTCTTATTATTTAATTGTATTGGCTAGAACCTTCTATTCAATGTCAAATAGAAATTATTTTTTCCCTGATTTTGGAAGAACTACTTCTAAGGTTTAACCACAAAGTGTAATATTTGGTTTAGATTTCTGGTCAATATCCTTTTTCAGGTTAAGAAGGTTCCCCTCAGTCTCTAGTTTACTGAATGTTTCTTTCACCATTATTGGGTGCTGAATTTTACTCAATGTTTTCCCTGCATTCATGGAGATAATCATAAGTTTTCTCCTTTAATCTGGTAGTGTGCAGACTTACAATAATAGATTTTCATTCAGATACGCATGGAGATGCATTTAAGGTTTCTCCATGTCTTTTCATAGCTCATTTCTTTCTACTGTAGAATAATATTCTACTGTCTGGACATACCACCATTATTTTAAGATGAATGCATCTACATTTTTAAGTTGAATTGACCTCTAATTTTCTTGTCCCATACAACTTATTCAGTTTTAGTATCAAAGCTCTACCAATCCCATACAGACTATTACCTTTCAGTTTCAAACACTTTTCCATAAAAGCATATTGTAACAAATTCCTGTGACTGGGTGAAAAGAGAAAAAAGCTTCATTTCCACCAATTAAAAAAGTTTTAAAATGTCAAATAATAAGTTTTATATGTAAAATTAAATATATTCAGGTCTAGGCTTATATTTGCATAATCTCAAACACTACATGAAGAGTTGAAACACTACAGGGTACAAGTAAATTTATATTCCATGTTAGTAACTGATACAAAAGGAAAACATTAAAACAATTCCAAACATACATGTTTCTGTTAAGAGCTCTTCTGCATCAAATGCAGAAAAACAGTTGACAAAAATATGAAATTCTAACAACAACCGGCAGGTAAGGAGTGCTGTGCTTAGTCACTCAGTTGTGTCTGACTCGTTAAAACCCCATGGACTGTAGCCCTCCAGGCGCCTCTGTCCATGGGATTCTCCAGGCAAGAATACTGGAGTGGGTAGCCGTTAACCTTCTCCAGGGGATCTTCCCAACCCAGGGATCGAACCCAGATCTCCTGCATTGCAGGCAGACTCTATCGTCTAAGCCACCTTCAGAAAAAATATAGATAACAGGACACTCCATGTTCCCACCAGTGAGATTAAACATTTGTTACCACTTTTTGCCATATTTGTTCCTAGTCTTTTTTTTGGGAAAGAAAGAAAGCTCATCATATACAGCTTTTCTCTATCCTGCTTCTCTCTCTTCTATGGTAACCCTCCATCCTTTTAACTATTTTTTAATTGGAGACCTTTTGAGCCATTTAAATTTTCAACCATATGTTCACATATTGTTCAGTTTATATATTACTGATACTTTAAAATAAACTAGCTAAGATACTAATAAATACTAGTATAATATCAGTCTTAATGCTAATATGTAGTTTTAAAATCACATCAAAAAGTTGTTGCAACCCACAGACTGGGAGAAAATAGCTGCAAATCATACATCTGATATCAGATTAATATTCAGCATATGTTAAAAAAAAAACCTCATACAACTAAAAAATACAATAAATTTTAAAAGGGCATTCTACCAGCCCTTCTTCAATACTTCTGTTATGTGTATACAACTATTTTTCACAGTTAAGTACATCTGTTCATTGCTGTTTCCAATTTTTTTCATGAAAAAACTTTTTTTGTGATACTGTAATGAAACTGCTGATATGACAAAAGAAGAAGGCGGGGTCCCAAGTATTGGGGTATGGAAGTGATCTTAATGTGCAAAACACCAGTTCAGTCACTTAGTCGTGTCCGACTCTTGGCGACACCATGGACTGCAAATGTACATGTACAGAACACCATAATGTACAGAACACCATAAAACAGTCAAATGCTTGGGGTTAAGAAATACATTTGTAACAAACACATTTTCTTGATTAATATTTTTAAAAAGAATTCTAGAGTCCAATCTCTCACACTTCCAAAGCTATCATTATTATTTGCTCTCCTTTACCTTTAATTTCAGTGCATTTCGGAAGAACCCCTTCCCTTGTGGCTCAGGTGGTAAAGAATCCGCCTGGAAGGCGGGAGATCTGGGTTCGATCCCTGGGTTGGGAAGATCCCCTAGAGAAGGGAAAGGCTACCCACTCCAGTATTCTGGTCTGGAGAATTCCATGGACTACACAGTCTGTGGGGTCACAAAGAGTCAGACATGACTGAGCGACTTTCACTTTCACTTTCCAGCACTTTAGAAAACAGCTGCTGAAGTATATACTAGCTGCTTGCTCCAATAGACTCTTTCTTACTAGAGGTTTCTGAATGTAGTTTTTTGACTTACAACAAGCCTAGTTAAAAGCTTGTATTTCCCAAACTCCAGGACAGCTAAGAACAGTCATGGGGCAGTGCTCTGGCCAATCAGTGGGAATAAGCAGAAATCACTTGGTAGGCTTGCAGGAGAGCTCATTTGAGCACAGGTTCTGATGTGGGGGTGGCAAAGGGCAGAGCTGTCCTGTGACCCTATGGTGACAGCACATTCTGAGGAAGGCTAGGCAGAAGGAGGAGAGGGTCATGGACGGCATGACGGAGCCACACAACAGGCCTGGACTCCTATCCCAAAAGGAAGTCCTTACTTGTTAAGTCAGCTGTGGCCTGATTTTCTTTTCTTTCCGAGCAGCTATAGCACAGGTCTTGTAACTAATACAAACAACAGAACCAAATCTCAACAGTAATCAGATCTGACACTGAGAACAGATTTCGAGGACCACCTAAGACATAAATATCAATATCCTCAGATATCAGGAAGAAATATCAATAACCTCAGATATGCAGATGACACCACCCTTATGGCAGAAATTGAAGAAGAACTAAAGAGCCTCTTGATGAAAGTGAAAGAGGAGAATGAAAAAGTTGGCTTAAAGCTCAACATTCAGAAAACTAAGATCATGGCATCCGGTCCCATCACTACATGGCAAATAGATGGGGAAACAGTGGTTGACTTTATTTTTCTGGGCTCCAAAATCACTGCAGATGGTGACTGCAGCCATGAAATTAAAAGACGCTTACTCCTTGGAAGCAAAGTTATGACCAACCTAGACAGCATATTAAAAAGCAGAGACATTACTTTGTCAACAAAGGTCCGTATAGTCAAGGCTATGGTTTTTCCAGTAGTCATACATGGATGTGAGAGTTGGACTATAAAGAAAGCTGAGCG